GGCAGGTTTAGGTTGAGTAAACTGAACTCTTAATGTTATTTATTTCTAAAAATGTGAAATAATCCACACATCAGGGCACAGTTACATACCCAGGAAATCTGGGCTGTATGTAAGCACTGTAAAACCCAAAAAGTTAAGGAAAATGATTGCAACAAAACATTTATGTTCAAAAACTAATCCTAATGAGTACTGTGAACTTAATTTATTTAAGTAAATGAAGCAATTTGAGCACAGTAAAACCCCAAAAAATGAAGAGAACTCATACCAACTGATTACTGTTACCCAATAAGTTAAGGCAACTCAAACTGTTTGAGGAAACTGCACTGTAAAAAATGTTACTTAGATCTAACTTATAAAAAGTGAGGCAAGTGGTTGCATCGGACGTTTTAGGTTGATTCAACTTCCAGCCTTTAAGTATTTTAAACACTAAAATATTGCTTAAAACAAATGCAATAAAATTAAGTTGAGCCAACTAATATTTCTAAAATTACTCAAATCAGATAAACTTACTTTTTTTGTTAAACTTAACTTACTTATACATTGCTATATGTTGACTGTACTCATTTTAATTAAGTATTATGAACTTAATGATCTAAATAAAATTAACCATGCATATGTCATTTAAAACTAATTTAATTGACTTCTGGCTGTAACCTCAGAAAATAAATCTTCGTTTCTATATTGTAAGCACAATATACACTAGTAAAAACAGATAAACAGACTTTCCTGTCAATAACAATTAAATAAGAATGGGAAGATGGATTAAAGACCATAACATGTATTCAATATCAATCGATGTTCCTTTTAATAGTGACTACAAAATAGGCCATTAATGTGGCTACACATACACAATACATAAATAAAAACATTAATAATACCAGATCCTATTGAGAAATCATCCAAGGCAACTCAGTGAGGAGATTTGCATATTTTGATGAAGATTTAGGATGCATAATGTCCAGTCCCACAAAGAGTCTCTAATATATCTCAAATGTATACAGTTTTGATGGATACTTGAAGTCGAGGACATCGGTAAGTCCAAACAGGAGCCATCATGCATTTGACAGGTTTGGCAAACCTCTGACAGTCCTATGATAATCCAAACTGTGTTGGGCTGATGGCAAATTTTTCCCGTGGGCAGCCGCATGCACCTCTGATTCCTCACAACTCTATTGGTAGAGACAAAAAGAAACAGGAGTTCAGGTGGTTGCTACCAAACAACATTAAATAGCTAAATACTGAATAGGAAATAACTACAAGTGAAGTTACAAAAGTGCAGTGAGAATGATGCATGGATGAAACACCTTAGTTTATCAGTTAAAAATTACCTTAGTTAAAATTACCTAACTTCTATTTAAAAAATAAAAAAAGGTTATAGAGGTTGTGTAATTACATTATTCCAGGTGTTTTTAGTTATCAAATTTTAAAGAAAACTGTGATTTTACTCAGTGTAACAGTGCATGTCATTGTGTTTTCCTGTCAATCAAAGAATTGTTAAAATTTAGGTATTACATTTTTTGTTTATTTTGGCAACTTATAAAGCATAAGAATGTGTATTTAATTTAGATATTAAAACTGTTTGAAAATGGCTATATGAAAATTATAGAATACAAGTTCTATAATTTAAATGTCATCTTCATTTTGCACCAAACTTTGCACGTCATAATACAAATTTTATTAAAAAAATAAATAAATACATTGCCATTTTACACATTACATTAAGGTTTACATTAAATTTTTGCTAAAGCTACATTTAATTGACTTTTTCTTCAAATTTAATGTCACTGGCAAATGACAGTTCAGTGATTCAGTGTTATCAGTTAGCTTTATTGAAAGACTGACAGATAATAAGAAACTGCATTAGGATATTTTTATACTGTTTTTACTGTTGCACACATAATATCTGTGTAAAAAAAACAGTAAAAAATTACTATTGCACTTCAGATATCAAATGTAAGTTAATTCTATGGAGCCCACTATTGTTTGCAATTTTACCAATGTTTTACTTGCCTGCAAATAATTATAGCTGTAGTTGTATCTAATGTTTTTCTTACCTGGATGTGAAGTTTGAAGATCCACAGGTAACAAAATCACTTTGGTATCTAAAGACCAAGAACATGCATTTTAGAATGAGGTGCATACAGTTTAAATGGTTCTGTAAACATCAGTAGTAAATGTAATTTAAGTTAAAATAAATTGTAAATCTGTAATTTATTCACTATGCAGCATTAAAAAACTTATGGACTAAATCTCTAAAACACAAACTTTAAGTTATACTTTCTCTTACGTTAAACACAAACTACTTAACTGTTGCATACGTTTCTGCATTTAATATCCATCCTTAATGTGCTGCTATAACTTAGGTGAGCTAACTTTAGCTAAGTTAGCGCTAGCAAACTGAACCCCCACACCCCGACCGCCCACCAGTGACCTTGTTAATCGGTTCTGCAACGTTAGTTATACCTACTAAGTGTTTTAAAACTACTTTCACTATTTGTTCTCAATAATATCACTTTTAATCATTAGCATAAACTAGCGTTGGTTAGCGTTAGCCAACTTAGCTTTCCATGTGAGAGCAGTCTAACTGTTAACATACCTGAGGCTGCAGTACAATTTACAAAGCTAAAACCTCACCTGCCTAGCGAAGACAGCAGTTTTGCATGACTTTACAATTATCATTCGGCTAAATTTGCAACTTACCGTGTTAATCAGATCCGCTGCTGGGAGCAGTTAATGTCGACCATTGCAGAAGCTGCGTCTGCCTGCTAAATCCCGGGCAATGAAAAAGGAGTCATGCAAAACTATAAAAATCACGTTTTATGAACACCTGCCCACATCGACAGCTGCTCTAATAAATTGTCTGTGTCAACTCACTTTTATAACATTTATTCTACACAATAACCACGTAAAAAAATCTACTCAAATAAATTGCATTAGTTTTATTCAAAATATACAGTTATATAAAAACTGATATATTTTAAGTAAAGAGGAAGCAAATTTAATTTTTTTGGTATAAAACAAATAAAATTAACTAGATTGCAATTATTTAAAGTAGATAGAACCAACTTTGTGAGTGTAGCACTTTTTACAGTGTGATTGATTATATGAGTACTGTGGACTTACTCCATTTAGGTTAAAGTAATGTGGTATTTAATCAACTTATTACCTTCAACACTGAGTTCAAAGCTCTTTTCAATTGAATAAAACTAACTTTCAGTAAATTTTGAGTTAACTACACTCATTTCCTTTGATAAAGTTGACTGTTGAGTTTTACAGTGTAGGTTCTAGTTCTCACTGAAGAAGGAAAACAGGACCGGGAGATGGTGGTGCAATCTCAAATGGCCCTATGTACTATGGCTCCCCCTACTTATGACACACCTGAAGGTGCATACAAAAGACACATGGATGGAAGGAATTAACTCTGCTATGGTTAACCTTAAATAAGAACAAATAGAACCAATGACATCTAGACTAACCAAAAACAGGATACCAAAATACCATATTTTTTTCTTGTTATTTTCAAATCATTGCCCATTACAGTTCCAAGAGGGAACGGAAATGTGTCCTTTTGCAGCATATTTTCCTTCCAAAAAAATTGGATTTGAAGGCTTGATGGCTAATGGCATACTTGTCATTCTATCAGTCTGGGAGATTTTAACACTGGCTTCATTGTTAGTTTCAGCATGTCAGATCACGGACCAAACATTCTTCATGCCTCACAAGGCACAGATTTTGGTTAAAATGTTATGAAGAATGTGTCCAGGTTGTCTGACATTTTATTCTTAAAAGGTACTTGATATAGCACTAACACCTGTAGCGCATTTTGAATGGTAGGTCTGCTTCAGCTGGCAGAGTGCACGCATAAAAACATTCCCAATGTATAAAAAGCTCTAATGCACCTGTATCATCATAGATCAACCCCTAAAGTTTTTTTTTTTTTTTTTTTTTTTTTTATGGGGAAAAACCTGAGACTGATCAAACAGGGCATTTCTTTGGTGTAAAAATACACACTGGAATATGTCTGGTCTGGTTTCTTTAGGCGGAGGTCACACTATCAGGCAACAGGCGTGTGCTCTTCCTCGCATCTGGCTGGATGACCCCAACTCACACCCTCAACCTTAACACTCAGCCCTTTGGTTTCCTCTAGACTTCCAGTGCTTGAGCAAACAGGGCAGTGTCTGACTCAAAATCCCACTCCAACCATACCCAACCCATCCGTCTGGCTTTTATATAGTAATATTTACATTTACATCAGATCTGCTCACTCTGCGTCTAGAACGTTTAGGTCCACGTGAGGCCACCGCATTCCTTTGGCTTTATTCCGCCGGCCAACTTTCTCGCTTTCTTTTCTTTCATGCTCACACATGCACAGTAAAACACATTGGAATTAAATTACCCGCAGTCTTCATCTAATGTTTACCGTGGTCAGCTGAAACATGTCCGGCAACCACCTCCCTCTTAATAGCACTTTTTTACATCTGAAACATTCCTTTTAGTTGATATCATGGCAAGCAACTCTCATGAGGGCACATCTGGGGGCTTTTTTGGAGCTAACAAAGATGCTTTTGAATTTTATAACAGTCAATATTCCTCCAAGCTATAAGATTCCCCAAACTAAATGGATTGGATGACAGATTAATGCGTTACTGTTCTTCAAGGTAAAAAATAGCTTCTCAAAATGCAGTATAACCACCAAAAAACTTGTTAGAAATGTTTTGAGAGCATTTCTGAAGAAATCAAAGTGAATTTTTTGGGCCAAATTCCAACTACAACCATATCTTGTCAGCCTTGTCATATTCATGAATTATCTGGCTCCTCAGTTTGGCCCTCAGATTCCACCATGAAAATGTTTTGATTTAAAGAGTGACGGGAAGATCTCCAGGACTTCCTCTGCTTATTCAGAATATTATCTGAACTAATGATTCATGTTGGTGCTTCTGGAAATACAGTGCAAATTCTGGTAATTGCTGATAAAGTCATTTTTTCCTCATCCTTCTCAGACTCTTGAAGAACGAGTGGAGGAAATCCGTATTAGACCCATATCATCCCACCTCAAGCGCATACCCATTACAGAAGGCTATGTGGAGGTGAAAGAGCGGGGCAAATGGAGGCAGATCTGCGATGAGGAGTGGACACCTTTAAACAGCCGAGTCGCCTGTGGAATGTATGGTTTCCCTGGAGAGAAGAACTACAACAACAAAGTCTACAGGTAAGAAAAATACTCACTGTCTTCCTTTGCATGACAAATGGACATTAGCCAGACATTCCTTTAGAAACACAACGGTAATATCTTTTCATTTCCCGTGTTGAGGCTTTTGTGATTATGACACATTAAGTATCAAGGCAGGAACGAAGGCTGGATGTTCATGTCAACAAGTTGCACGGAGATTTTAAGGTTTCCCCAAATGTAACATTAACTTTGAAAAAAATTCAGCAGGAGTTATTTAGCCCTCAGATGTGTGTGTGTGTGTGTGGGAACGCCTCCCCGCGTGAATCATGCCCAGATTGTTTCCCAACATAAGTCTTGGCTGTTTCCCATCTAGTAGAGAACATTGTGTTTCCTCTTGAACTCTGCAAAGGACATTTAACAGTAAAACAGCCTCGAAATGATAGTTTTAACGGGGGTTCGACCACATTTGTGCACCAAAACACATAGCCAATGTCCTTATTTTTGTATACGTTCTTAAAAATAGAGCAGAAAATATTTGAGACTGGTTTGTTAGATGTATTCATGGGTTTATTTTTGAAATATGCCACACACTAAAGTAAGTAATGCCTGGTTATATTTAAAGATGAGGAATGTCTATGTTTGTTAGTTGGAACATTTCAGAAATGTGGGGCGTTTAACTACTGGACATGTGAGTCTTTGTATTTTTAGTCTGGGCCTTCTATGTTATTCAGGCTTTGCAATAAATGGGACACTCAATGTACATCAATGGTCTCAAACTCAATTCCTGGAGGGCTGCAGCTCTGCATAGTTTCTGCATAGCTGCAGGCCTCCAGGAATCGAGTTTGAGACCTATGATGAACATGGTACATTACATGGCCTTAAAGATATAGTTCACCCAAAACTGTTGGTAACACTTTACAAAAACAGTTCATAAATAATAATGTGTTGATATGTAAATTAAACATTACTTTATTATGAATTAATGATAAGTTAAGGTGCGCACTAAACATGAACTAACTTTAACTACAACATGAGTCATGTGTGGATAACGGCTACGTTAAATACTTCTTAGTACTTAATTACTTGTTTCTGTTATTAATTAATTAATTAATTTAATTAATTTAATAAAATTTATTAATTAAGATTTAATTTTAAGCTAAATGTAACCATCATGAACTCATGAGCTGAATGTATAAATATGTCATGACTTTACTTGGAGGGGCATCAACCATTAACTCATCGTCAGCTCCTGTGTTTAAACTGTTGACGTTGACTGAACACTTTTCTATTGTTACTCAGTGTGAACACACTAGACAGATGTGCATAAGGAGTTCATGAGTAGTTAAGAATGGGTTGATGATGTGCCCCTCCAAGTAAGGTCATGACATAGTTATATATTAACATGAGTTTATGATGGTTAAATTAAGCATAAACAAATGTGGTAATTAATACATTAATTAACCCACAATCATGTATTAACAAGTAATTAAGGTAGCCGTTATTCACACATGAACTACAACATGAGTAGCATGAGTTCAAGTTAGTTCATGATTAGCGCATGCATTTACTCATCATTAATTCATAACAAAGTAATGTTTAGTTTACATATTAACACGTTGCTATTCATGTACTGTTATTGTAAAGTGTTACCGAAATGTCTAAAAACTGTCATTTTATTTAACACAAAAGAAGATGATGGAAAAACAAATGCAATGGAGTAGGAGTTTCCTATATTCTGGGTGATGGGTGAGTAAATGATTACACAATTCTGAATTTTGGGTGAAATATCCCTTTAAATCACAGATAATGAGTAATGTAGACTTTATTAAAAAGTGCTCACTTATTAAATGCACTTGCTTTGAACCCAGAACAGGCTGTACTTATTAAACCAGTTTCTTAATCTGGAGAAAAGGAAACGTGGAGGGGGGAAAAAATCCAGCTGTTTGTTGACCCGTCCTGCACTATGATTTTCTCTGTACCGTGGAATCAAAGGAAATGTTCTGTTTTCTTGGGTTAGCACAAGTTTACAGCCACAGGCAATGTCCGATCCTCTTAATAATTCTAACAGGTGTCCCTCTAAATCAGGGGTGTCAAACTCAAGTCCTGAAGGGCCGAAGCCCTGCACAGTTTAGTTCCAACCCTGCTTCAACACACTTACCTGTAGGTTTCAAACAAGCCTGAAGGACTCAATTAGTTTGATCAGGTGTGTTTAATTAGGGTTGGAACTAAACTGTGCAAAGCTGCGGCCCTTTTGGAACCGAGTTTGACACCTATGCTCTAAATTATCATTGTGATGTCCCTTAAATGGTAATACCACAATTAACAGAAGTTTCCCTGCGGCTCTGATTTGCAGATCACTGTCAATGCGTAAAAAAAAGAACTACTGGGGTTTCTCGGTAAACTGCACTGGAAATGAAGCCCACGTGTCCAGCTGTAGACTAGGCAAAGCTCTGGAGCCCAAGCGGAACGGCACATGTGGACGTGGTCTGCCTGTGGTGGTCAGCTGTGTGCCTGGAAGAGCTTTTGCACCCTCATCCTCCATCGGCTTTCGCAAAGCCTACAGACCAGAGGTTGGTAGCCTAAAATTAGCATTAGCTATGATTTGAGTGGTTGGAAACATGTGTGTGTACCGCTGAATGTTGCTGAAATAAAAGTACACTTCCAAAGAGTTTACAGTGTCATCAGCAGCAGAAATCTTGTTTTGCTTTTATTAGCATTGGGCTAACCTGATATTTGTTTAAGTAATATTTAACAGTATAATATGCTTTTAGACTTTTAAATCCTGTCCAACAGTGGCAATTTGTCATTTAGGTCATGAACAACAGATAGAGCATGAAGTTAGCATTAGTGCTAATTTATATAGTTTACTGTTTGTACTGTAGCTACTAAATTTTGCTTAGCATCAAAGCTGGCGTTGTGATCTAGTTGTTTGTAGCCTACTGAAAAACTTGCCATACAGACATACTGTTTGTTTACTAACTATTGTCCATGTTGGATATGCTAACATCTATATTAATATATAATAATATTATATAGATGTTAACATAGGCTATCCAACACGCAGTACCGGCCTGTAGAGTTAAGGGGCCCTTGGCGAGATAAAAAAATAAATTGTGCCCAATGGTGTAAAAACAGTAAGAAAGCACAAAAATACTGATTTTAATATTTAAGTGTATAATTTTTTTATTAACTGTAACATATTTAATCTGGAACACATATGTAAAAATATTGACTCATATATAAACAAATAAGTTTGTTAGTATTTCAAAGTACTACTAAGTAATGTATTATGCAAAACAAAACATTACTTTGAGCTTGCTTTTTGTCCTCTGATTTTCTTTTCTTCTTTTTTTTTCGGCTCCATAAAGATGCCGTTTGGACGCCATTTCATTTCTGAATAAAATTTCTATTGATGTTATATTACGTAAGACTTTTTCAGGTTTATATCGAACGTGAGCAATTTGGAGAGATAAGGGGAATCTGTTTAGGAATACGTTACATCATTCTAGTTCACCCAATAGCTGACTGCGTGCGATGTTAAGCAAAATAGAGTTTGGTGCTGCTATATTTCTAATATTTTCTGCTTCTATTCACGCTGTTGTTGTGTATTTATTATTGTTTTCAGCTTTGACATGTATGAATTATACAGACCTATTCTTTTAATCAAATGTTTTTTTTCTCACAATCCTTGTGAAATGTATCACGTTTAATGGGGTTTGTGCATTGCGCAATGCACATTGTTTATGATTAAAACATACGCACTTGTCTTTACGCTTATGTTCACAATAAATATTCAAAAGCAGCTTTCGTGGGGTCCTCCAAGAAATGCGGGGCCCTAGGCAACTGCCTATATTGCCTGTGGTATAGGCCGGCCCTGCCAACACAGACAATAGTTAGTATTGGATGGCATAGTAATGATCATAACAAGGATTTACTATTAGCTTATTTCATTTGAGGAGTTGTAGCTACTAGCGCTTATAGTGTGTGATGGTAGAATTAAATATTATTCTTAAGATCTTGGGGTCACCGTCTACTTGTTTGTATGAATAAACAAGCCATAATTCTGTAAATACGGAATATTAGTGGCTTTCAACTGTAAAACATGTCCAATTTGGATAATAGTAAGTCAGTGGAATAAACAAAGCATGAAGTTAGCATTAGCTTCCTCTTGATTAGCCCTGCTTAGCACTGAAGTGCACAGAGACTGATGCTGGAATACATATCTAGCTTTCCTAAAAATCTACCATGGCATCAGCAATGACATCATGGAGGAGTTAGCGGTTACCAGTTTGCACTGAGTTCACAGACTGTATTTTTCTGCAAGTGCTCGTTCATTTTTTCCTTTTTCAATTTCTGAATACTGGAGTTTCATTCCTTCTCAGGGATGATTTATGGTTGTTGAAGTCGAGTCTGTTTTCCCTCATCCTTCAGCCTCTTCCTCACATTTCTGGAAGGAATTGTTTTCCTGGAAATAACGTTTTCCTGTAGATCATCATGTTCTCTCAGGCTGGATGTCAGGGTGACACTTGAAAAAATCATGTAGTACATTAAATCATGCTTCCTATTGGATAAAAAGAAGATTGCATAATATTTAAACATGGCCTCAGAGAGCTGAAGTGAGATTGTTTATACAGGCAAATGGGGGGAAAAAATCATCTGAATCACCTGGATCACATCCACAGACCGAGAGAGCTAGACTGTACAAACATGGGTCACCGAGGGTGTGTGAATTGATCATCCTGCTAATTTTTCCCTCTCTGATTCCTTAGCAACCCCTGGTGCGTCTGCGGGGTGGTGCAAATGTTGGCGAAGGCAGAGTGGAGGTGCTGAAGAATGGTGTTTGGGGAACAGTGTGTGATGATAACTGGAATCTGAAGGCTGCAACTGTAGTGTGTCGAGAGCTGGGATTCGGAAGCGCCAAAGAGGCTCTCACTGGAGCCAAGTTAGGACAAGGTTTGTGTGGCTTTTCATGCATGATATGTTTTATCAGTGCTTGTAAAACTGAGATGATTTGGAGGCACTGAGAATCAAGACTGAACACTCTTACCTTAGTTACCAAACTACTCGGTGTCCTAAAAGTTGGTGTTGGAGTTGGTGACTTTTTTATCTTTAGCTTATTTTTTATCTTTTGTCCGTAGTGATTCATAAAGTGCAAGTCAGGGGCTTTTGACACTCACTCACTATCCACAGTTGAATGAATGGCCAATTACTCTGGAATAGGTTTTGTGCAGCAGATGCCCTTCCAGCTGCAACCCAACACTGGAAAATACCCAAACACTCACATTCACATGCACGCTTATACACTTTGGCCAATTTTGTTATTATGTCTACCACATACCTTTGGACTGTTGGGGAAACCCATGCGAACACAGGGAACACAGACAAACTCCACACAGGAATGGCTCCTAGCCCAGCCGGGACAAACAAACCCAGCAACCTTCTTGCTGTGTGGCAATACCCACTGACACTTTGAGAGTTTTAAAAAAATATACGTGTAAAATTAAAAATAATACTTAATTTTTGCTCTATTTTCATGAAGAAAAATAATCAGATTAAGCAATAAATTGAATAACTTGAAAGTGTTATTGTTTCCAAAAATAGAGACGTATAGCAGCTCTAGCCACAGGTTTGTTCTGAGAAACTAAATAAAAGACAAGTAGCCACGCACAGCATTTATGTCACTTCTCTTTTGTACCTCTCAGAAATTTGAATAAACATGAATATCCATTAAACAGAAGGCAAGGATAATGTCACATGCTGTCCTTTTTAGAAACAACACAATGTACAACAGCCTGTTTCTGGCATTCATCAGATGTTCATGGTTCGCTTCTCTTTACTAAAGCTCTTCACTGCATTAGAGGCAGATGTGAACATTTGTTAGCCAGGAGACTAATGCGTGGCTAAACATCTGCATGTGCTGCTCCTCAGCTGATGTTTGGATGGGACCTCATACTAGCGGTTGAAAATCCATTTCAGTCGATTTGCTGAGAGATGATAAGATATTTAGGACATCTGCTCTTGCAATGTGCAATTATATATTGACTATGCGGGATGAGGGTTATGTAGTGCTTTTCTCAGTAATGTGTATTTGTGTAATAAATATGCATGCTTTAGTGAACCAAATTAAAATATTTATTTAAATTATATCTCATTTATTAATTAAACTTTCCAAGAGATAATAAGAGTTTCTGACCTACATTAACCTCCAATTGACAGATTTCAACAGATGCAATTCTCAAAGATGACCAATTTTTGATATTAAACAAATGTTAACATATTTGCTTTCTTGCACTAGGCAATTAATGGCCATGGAAGATTTCATTTGTTTTTTAACTTGTGCTAGCATAGGTGTCTGCTGTAGATTGCTACATATTAGATAGATGTTTCACATACTGTATCAGATACATATTTTTCTAGAAAAGTGTCTTGTGAACACTTACAGTCTATAAGTGGGATAAATATGCCAGTTTCAGACTGCCAACTGAATAATTTCTTAGAATAGGCTGCTGGGTGGGATCATTGATTCACAATGCTTTGAAGCATTATAGATGTTCAGATGTATATTATGTATAATCTACAGTGGTAAAAGAGTTCTAAAAAAATCATACTTAAGTACCGTCACTTGCCTAAAAATGTAGTGCAAGTAGAGTAAAAGTATCTGTTGTAAATATTACTAAAATTATGAGTAAATAGTAGAGCTTCCAATACAGAGTAGTATTACGTTGTAAAAAGCTGATGCCTTTACATCTAATTTGTGGATGTGTGTAAACATAACATTCTGTATTGCATTTAGTTATTGCCCAGCAGGCACACAATGTCATAAGATGTTGATATTAGGTTAAATTTAGGTCATGACATCAGAGACCAAAATTCAATGTTTAGCCAACGTCTAAGGACAATTTTGGCAAGAAAGTGGCGCAGTAGGTAGTGCTGTTGCCTCACAGCAAGAAGGTCGCTGGTTCGATTCTCGGCTCAATTGGCGTTTCTGTGTGGAGTTTGCATGTTCTCCCTGCATTCGCGTGGGTTTCCTCTGGGTGCTCTGGTTTCCCCCACAGTCCAAAGACATGTGGTACAGGTGAATTGAGTAGTCTAAATTGTCCATAGTGTATGAGTGTGTGTGTGAATGTGTGTGTGGATGTTTCCCAGAGATGGGTTGTGGCTTAAAGAGCATCCGCTGCGTAAAAACTTGCTGGATAAGTTGGTGGTTCATTCCGCTGTGGCGACCCCAGATTAATAAAGGGACTAAGACAAGAAAATGAATGAATGAATAAGGACAATTTTATTTTGATGTAAAATTATGTTGATATTTGGTTAATTTAAAATTGTTTTATAAACTAAACAAAATCCAACATCTTAAACCAATTTCATTTTGACGTAAAATATTGATATTTATTCGTTAGGTATGGCAACTAAATTCCATAACCCGATTTTCATTTCCAAACCAAATGTAACATCCCCACAACGTTTGTTACAATGCCAATCTGATGTCATGTTGATGTCTTGTGCCTGCTGGGTGTTTAAGGCCATTTCGATCATTATAAAGTAAACATCCATCATCGTCTCATCAGTGACATGCATCTTAACAGTCTTTGGGTCAATACACATAAAGATTTTGGACATCTTCTTGGACAATTCTTGGACATTTCTTAATGCTTTCAAACAGTTAGCTGCATTTAGAAATCACCCATGCCTTGAGGTAGTTTATTATAATGGGATTTACCTTTTATATGCGATTTGATTGGACAGGAATCACAGGACTGATTTTTCTAATTCCCATAGACAAGAAAAAATGAATTTATTAAGTTGGATCTATCCCCCTGCAATTCATACCTGCACACTTGTAAGCTTTAATTCCATTCTGCAGGTTTAAAATTGAATTGATCACTCCAAAATGTCCAACAAAGACAACATTTTGTTATTTTTGGTGTATTCGTGGCAAAAATAGCTTTGTTTTATTTTTCTTCAGTGCAAACCAAAAAAGATAAAACGGTTTACAAATCACCACAACACTCAGGTTAATATTGTGTAGTCTGAAAGTGGCGTAATGCGACCCACAAGTTGGTTGTCTACCTTTATATTTGCTTTAGCCTTCAGCTATGAGAACTTCTTTAAAATGGCTGCCAGAGTGTTTTGATTTACACTGCATTGCAAACAAAAGTGCTATTGTGCTACATCTAAACTTAATTTTATCATTCTTTTGAAGGTTAAGATTGAGGTAAACAACTATTTGGTTTGCCTAGTCTGAACAAATACTTCTTCAGTGCTCTCATAGCACTCTCCTATAATCTATTTATTCAAGGCGATTACTCTCATCTGATGTGATCGGTAGAGCTGACCTTACGGGGAAAAAACGTGACTCTGGTAAAAGATTTCTGTGTTTGACATCTGGTTGATATTAAATTCTTGTTGAATCTTCAGCCACTAAAAGGTACCAAGTCAGGTGTCCTACTTGTATGTGTTTCAGATGCAAAACGTTTAAGTGCCATCTGAGTTTTTCTTCTAAAATTAGGCATTATTTAGGCATTATTTGTGTTCATGTGTTCAGAAATTAACGTTTTTTGTTTTTTTTTTTAAAAAGGACAGATTTCTTTGATTGCCTTTAAAATAAAATAGTTGAACACAACTATAGGAGGCTAAGAAAAATACCCATTTAAGAAGAAAATTTCAGATGGCACAGAGGTTTTTGCATCTGAACTCTTCAAATAGACACATCCTTTGGTACCTTTTGGTGCCTGAAGCATTAACAAGAATTCAGTATCAACCACATGTCAAACACAGATATCTTCTACCAGGGTAATTTCTTTTTTTTGCATCAGAACTCAGAATTTCTTATCCATGAACACTCTTTTGGATAATAATGCCCCATTTAATGTACACAATGTATTTAATGTGTACTTTTTTTGTCAGGAATGGGTCCGGTCCACATGAATGAGGTGGAGTGCTCTGGATTTGAGAAATCTCTCACTGACTGCTACTTTAATAATGATGCTCTGGGATGCAGTCATGAGGAGGACGCAGCTGTTCGCTGTAATGTACCTGCTATGGGCTTTCAGAAAAGGGTGAGGATTTTTAAAATATAATTTACATATTAATTAGCAATAGTTTTACGCTCATGAATCGGTATGATTATGAAACATTAACATTATGTTTGCTTTTGACTATAACAGATACGACTAAGTGGAGGAAGAAACCCATTTGAAGGACGTGTGGAAGTTCTCGCTGAGAAGAACGGTTCTCTCGTTTGGGGAACCGTTTGTAGTGAAAACTGGGGGATTATAGAGGCTATGGTGGTCTGCAGACAGCTGGGATTAGGCTTCGCCAGCCATGCGTTCCAGGTAAGACTACTTACTAAATGTGAAAGTCCTTCAAAATTGTAAATTGAATGGGTTTAAACAGCCACAAAATACAAGCTACTATTCTGCTGAACACATGATCACTATGAAAAAGTGCATTTAAACAATAAATTCATGTTTCATAGTATTGTAGTTGCCATTTAAATTCACCTTTTCATTCATTTGCTTTCACACACACTCTAAAGCAAGTAGTATTTATGCATCACACTGAGCTCTTCTGCTAAAATGATGTAGAGGGAAACAAAATAACAGTGAAGGGTCTTGATTCAATCTAAACATAAGTGGTCACAAGAGTCACATTTGAATTCATGTTCAATTCCAGGTTTCTATGATCAGACTTCTCATAACAGTCAGCCTTCAACAGCACCACACCATCAGTATCCTCAATACAGTCAACGGGATGGTATACATTGATCAGCTCTCATTCATTTTTAAGGGTAGTTTGTGCAGATAAAATTATTTAATAGTGCAGTATGTCATTTTTGCCACTAGATGGTGAATATTTACAACGAACAAAGGTGTAGCTTGATGATGCTGTGACTGGGTGTAACATCATGGGATTTGTGGTCTTCGTTAGAAAAAGAGTAAGGCTGAAGGCTGTCGAAGCAAAAGAGACCACTGAAGTAATAACTAAAAGAGATGAGCGCGCTGCCTACATAAGCAGCGGAGCTTTTATTATGGCAGCATCGTCCAGTTCTTCAAGTTGTGTTTTATAAGAACTCAAATCAGAAAACAGGACGTCATTAGCATTGCAACACAGGACATTGTGTGTGTCACTAGTCACATTTGTTGATTGAATATTCTCAAAAATATTTAGTATACTGTAAGTACAGTACAATTCATTAAAATATTTAACACTGTTCTAGTGGCTTTGGCATATTTTAATAAGAAATCGTACACATTGTGCGATCGTACATACCATTCTATAAGCACACATAATGTAGCCAATGTGGCTCTCCGTTTTATCCACCACAAATTTCCTGGCTTCCAAATCATATTCATTCCCATTTATTTAAATCATAACTGATTGCTCTTGTAATGTCACGCACTATCAAGTGGTGAGGTGGCTGGACTACAGAGGGGTAGCTAACAGCTCAGTGACAAACTCATAATGATACAGGCCTGGAAACTATTACTGCATTACAAACAGTATGGAAGCAGTAGTTTGATGGGCGGTTTTATGAGTGGAAACGCTAAAGTGCTTTTGCAGGCTAATGCAATGATTAAGTGTTATTATGAAGATTGACGGAAATTTGCCACTAGTGGATGCATGTGGCCACATGTCAAAACATTAGGGCCATAATGGCTTCGGCCCTGGGACTTAAAGCCGTTAAATTTAAGATATTATTGTTGTGAAAATGCTTGCATGAATGATTTGTGCAGATCTCATGTGCCTAGTCATACTGGTCTGTTTTTTTGGAAACTTGTAACTGGAGTTCGTTCTTCGTACCTTGCTTAAATGATCTAAGATGATTTGACAGATTCTGGATCTTTTTAATTTGATAACTGATCTCTGGCTAATTTGGTTCTTCAAACTAGTTCACGAATCAGATTAAAATGTCTGGATGAACTGATCTGAGATTGCTGTGTGTGATGTGAAGGACAGATCTATTGATCCTCGAAACCATGATCAGCAATGCAACAATTGGCTGACGGCACAGCAGCGTAATGACATCATCTAATTAATATTCAATTATTTAAAATTATATAAAATTCTTTGTAAAATGTTTGTTAAATATGACACGCAATAACTCTCCACATTTGTTGTGGGCTGCAGGCTTTACACTTTCATGTGTCAAGAGTATTTAGCAATTTAGTTTTACATTTAGAGCGAATTTTCTTTATTATAGTAGCCTATAGGCCTCAAGTTTCTTAATCAGTGTAAGGAATAACTCTGTTTAAATGCAAAAATTCATTTTGAAATCAGATTGCAACTTTTACCAAGCATCAAATCACCGGCATACTAGGGGTCAAAACATATGCATGACTGTATAAATTATTATTCCTTAAAAAAAAAAAACAGTCAAGTATTGTGCATGTCTATTATCATACACAACATGTACTAAAGCTGGTTTAGTACCTTAAAATAGTATGCGTTTGTATTTAAAAAGTCCCTATTAATAAATGTTCACGTTGAACCCCTTGGGGAGAGAACACTCCATGACAGTTTATGTACTTTTATTTCAGAGTGCAGATTGCATAAGTTTTATTTATTTATTTTTTTGCTTTAAACGTAAACTGAAATTATATATATATATTTTATTATTAGTATTATTATTTTTTTTTTACTATTTTCCCAAGTGTATATAACTACTACTGTAAGTAAATATCAGCATTTGGTACATACATTCAGTGTTACCTTTGCTTGAAGCAGAACTGTTGCTATGACAACAACCCTCAAATAAGTTTTGAAGAACGAAATGACCCTGCATCATGTCAAATCGTCAATAACCAAACCCAGCTAATTGAGTAATCCAAGTACGAAGAACAAACCCCTGGTCAGATTGGGAGGAGCAGTTTAAACCAGCTTGAACCAGAAAACCATAATAATATACAATATAGCAGATGAAACCAATCAACTTTGACCAATTCAGCTAATTAAATTTATTTCTGAAGGATTACATGACACTGAAGCTTAATGAGGTTTAAGTTCAGCTTTCCCAATATATTATAATAGATTTGATCAAGTACAAGCAGTTGTGCTTATCATGAAAGGCTTAAAGGGATAGCTTGCCCAAAATTTCAAATTGTCATCATTTACTCATCGTTGTTTTAAACCTTTATGATTTTCTTTCTTTTGTTAAACATTAAAAAAAATATATAAGAAACCTGTAACAATTGACGTCCATAGTATTTGTTTTTCTTACAGTAGAAGTCAATGGACACAGGTTTTCAGCTTTCTTCATAATATCTGCTTTTGTTTTTAACATAATAAAGACATTTATAAAGGTTTCAAACCATGTGAGGGTTTGAGTAAACAGCAAATCATTTTGTTGTGTGTGTGAACTCTTTAACAAGAAAGTGATTAATTCAAGGTAACTCATGCATTAGCTTGTTCTGACATGCTGTCGGTCACGTTTTCTCTAAAACTGTTACCAAAGCTCAAGAAGTGCACGATACAACTTCCAGATGTTGGAGTGGCCATTAAACATGATTTGTCTGACAGTCTGGACCGGTGGGTCTTTCCAGACAGCATGTGGGGGAGTGGATCAACAATGGGGCGGGGGGTAAAGGAAGCCCATGGAAACTCTGACAGAATGTGCCCACATTCCCCCTGCCTGTGCTGGCCATCCGGCAGGCTTATCAATCAGGGGAGGCTGTGACTCAGTCTAAGAGACCATCTAAGGCACATCACATGGAAAGCACATGGAAAACAGAACATAACAGTAGATGAAGATGACTCACCATGAACATATGTTTGTGCAGTCATCAAAACTGACATAGACTTTCCCAATCTGTGGGGTACAGCTTGTCTTATGTTTCAAACCTCTAACCTCATGGAACCGCTGCAATGAAAAGCAATCTTGAGAGCAGATGCTCAAATCACGTTCAGAAACATTTGGATGATCTGTAAAATGTGATTAAACAGCCCTCACTTGGTCAGAAGGTGTAACGGCAGACTTCATTTGGTTGAGAAAACAAAATGATAATAAAAACATCCTAAAAGTGAATTCCTTTTTTTTAAACTGTCAAGCTGTACATTTTTTTGGTCTATTTAGCCAATCTTTGTGTCTGGCGGGAGCATTTTTTGCTTAGCTTAGCACAGATCATTGTATTGGATTAGACCATTAGGATCTCGTCCAAAAATGACCAAAAAGTCTAAATTAAAATGTTTTTAAGTGACTCTCACAAATGTATGCATTGTTGTAAGGCCTGCTCCCTGTGTAAGCAGGTAGTCGTGTTAATATATTGATGAATATTAGCTGATTTTCAGGTGCCGATCATTGCCTCTGCTACAGCCATGTTAGGTAGCATAGTTCCTATTAGGCCAGAATGAGAGTATACCTAGCAAACAATTTTGTGTTAAAAAGACATCTAATAGACATCTAAACATAGAAAGCTTTGCTAAAACAGGGCTAAACTTGGGCTGTCAGTGAAAATCTAAATCTAAGAATAATCCAAACTAGACTAGTTGTCATATAGACAGATTAGACTGGATATGTGTAGTCATTCATTTCTGTTTATTTGATGAATAGTCTAATTTTGGCCTATTCTTGGATGTCTATACGATTGTTTACTGACAGCCCAAGTTTAGCCTTATTTTAGCCAAGATGACTACATTTTATTTAGACTTCTACTAGACATCTATTAAAAACTACAAAAAATGCTGTGCTGGGTAGCACATGATGTAACTACACAAAAGTGCAGCTTTAAATATGTAAACTGTGCAAATTTTTTTTTATTTTTGATATGCTAATGGTCTAATCCACTTCAATGATCTATGCTAAGCTAAGCTAAAAGTGCTCCCGTCAGAACAAGAGATTGGCAGAAAACTTAATGTTCACTTAAATGTCTAAATCCTGCTTATAACCCAGGAATAAAAACTTTTAACACTTTAAAAGCTGCACTTTTCCATGGGGTTTAAAATTAGCCACAATTTCCCCTTGTTTCATTCCCATTTCATGATCATTTCATGATATGTCATTTTTGTTCGGAAATAAACAATGCAGTATTAGAATGTTACAACTAGATGGACTATAAACCAACAGCAATTGTTTGCGTATTGTTTGTATATGAACAGCTGTTTCAGCCTACGTGTTAAAATGGTGATGGAAAATTCATCAGGCAGGAGAAAAGACTGTTTAAGACACACTATTAAACATTTCAAGCTAGCCGAATCAACAAACCAATCATTTGTTTGTTGCTTCATTTCAGTAAACCCATTGATTTGGGTTTGATTGAAGTGGACTGATTATTTTACAAATTCCTTTTCATCTCAGTCACTGCAGAGGAAATGAGTTTATAATGTGGTGTAAGATGCGATTAAAATGTGAATGTGGGATTAAATTACTGCAGTTCAACTGATAATTTTGCTAACGTGTGTATCATATGCTTGTTTAGGAGACCTGGTACTGGGCTGGAGATGCGAATGCAGATAATGTTGTGATGAGTGGAGTCAGATGCTCAGGAACTGAGATGAGTCTTCCTCAGTGTCTTCATCACGGAAAACACATCAACTGCCCCAAAGGAGGAGGACGCTTTGCCGCTGGAGTCTCCTGCTCTGATAGTGAGTCTCTCACCTCATATTGAAGAAACATAAAAAATTAATGATTTATTGGTGTCAAAACTTATATATATATATATATATATATATATATATATATATATATATATATATATATATATATATATATATATATATATATATATATATATATACTGTATGTATCATTTTTTTTAAACAGACAATATATTGTAATGTTTGCTGTGTATACAGAAAACAGTATCCTGAGCTATTATTCCTTTTTAAACATAAGCAAAGTGTGAAAATACTGAAGATTTTCTATTAACTTAAAGGAATTGTTCACTCAAAAATCTAAACTTACTCTCATTATACTCACCCTCAAGTTGTTCCAAACTTGTATGAGTTACTTTTTCTGTTTAACACACACACACACACACACACACACACACAAAAAGATATGGTGGTAAAGTTGATACCACATTCCCCACTGACTTCAATAGTTGGAGTGAATGAGTAAATGATGACTGAGTTGTCATTTTGGATTAATTAGCCCTTTAATAAACTCACAATGGGTGATCTTCAGAAGCAGCTAAAAGCCTAGTGGTCCAGACTAATTTGCGGAGGAATTTGTTTCTGTCTGACTTCTGACCTCTGACGGCATCCATCACAGCGGCCCCTGACCTGGTGCTCAACGCTCAGTTGGTGGAGCAGACCACCTATCTGGAGGACCGGCCCATGTATGCTCTTCAGTGTGCTCTAGAGGAGAACTGCTTGTCCAGCACTGCCCGAAAGAATGACCACAGCTCCTACCGCCGCCTGCTCCGTTTCTCCTCACAGATACACAACGTGGGCCAATCCGACTTCAGACCCAAACTGGGATACCACGCCTGGACTTGGCACGAGTGTCACAGGCAAGACCTGCAAACATCACACCATGATCACAGATTATTACCAATACTATTACCAATACTAAATAATAGCAAATATTTGTTGAATATGACCACACCTTACAGTGCCCAGCATAAATCAGTACATACAGATCTCTCTAATATTATTACTTTATATATGAAGCTATACAATATGATATTCATGCATATACAGTATAGTAGTCAGTACCAAAACCAAAACTGGAATTAATCCAACAAAATAACAAGATTGTGGTGCAACACCTATGAATATGGAATATTCAGGAATATAGGACATTTAGTTGAACTTATTTTTGCAACACCATATTTAAATTGTTTTGTCTTTCTGTTCCTAAATAGATCAGGAGACCATATTCTTACTTTAATGAATAAAACTGTTTATTGAAACTGTTTAAATGCATTAAAATACTGTATAGTGTCTACATTCACTGAGAAATGAATAAAAATATAATTTTTTAAAAGGGTTGAACTCATATATGTTTGCTTTTTCAGATATCACCTTTCATGCAGTGTGTAATGTAGCTGTTTGTGAATGAAAAGTTCTGTCATGACAAATTATGGACAGGTTTAATATGGTGATGAATTTTATATGGACACTTGTATGTGTTTGTTCTTGAGGGCGTGCATGTTAAGATATAGATATATTATGTATATATACACTCACCGGCCACTTTATTAGGTACACCTGTCCTACTGATTGTTAATTCATCATTCGATAAATTTCTTGTCGGCTTAGTCCCTTTATTAATCCCTTTATTAATCACAGCGGAATGAACCGCCAACTTGTCCAGCAAGTTTTTACACAGCGGATGCCCTTCCAGCCTCAACCCATCTCTGGGAAACATCCACACACACATTCACACACACACTCATACACTACAGACAATTTAGCCTACAAAATTCACCTGTACCGCATGTCTTTGGACTGTGGGGGAAACCGGAGCACCCGGAGGAAACCCACGCGAAGGCAGGGAGAACATGCAAACTTCACATAGACACGCCAACTGAGCCGAGGTTCGAACCAGCGACCCAGCGACCTTCTTGCTGTGAGGCGACAGCACTACCTCGCCCTGCCTGTTAATACAAATTTCTAATCAGCCAATCACATGGCAGCAACTCAATGCATTTAGGCAGACATGGTCAAGACAGGAAGCATCAAAATGGGGAAGAAAAGTGACTTTGAACTTGGCATGGTTGTTGGTGCCAGACGGGCTGTTCTGAGTATTTCAGAAACTGCTGATCTACTGGTATTTTCAAACACAATCATCCATAGGGTTTACAGAGAATGGTCTGAAAAAGAGAAAATATCCAGAGAGTGGCAGTTCTGTGGGCACAAATGCCTTGTTGATGCCAGAGGTCAGAGGAGAATGGCCAGACTGGTTCCAGCTGATAGAAAGGCAATAGTAACTCACATACCCACTCGTTACAACTAAGGTATGCAGAAGAGCATCTCTGAACGCAGCAGAAGAACACACTGGGTGTCACTACTGTCACTTTACATAAAACTGAGGCTCCAATTCACACAGGCTTACCAAAAATTGGACAATAACAGATTGGTCAAACATTGTCTGGTCTGATGAATCTCGATTTCTGCTGTGACATTCTGATGGTAGGGTCAAAATTTTGTGTCAACAACATGAAAGCATGGATCTATCCTGCCTTGTATCATTGGTTCAGGCTGGTGGTGGTGTAATGGTGTGGGGGATATTTTCTTGGCACATTTTGGGTCCATAAGTACCATTTGAGCATTGCGTCAACGCTACAGCCTACCTGAGTATTGTTGCTTGTCCATCCCTTTTTGACCACAGTGAACCCATCTTCTGATTGCTTCTTCCAGCAGAAAAACGTGCCATGTCATAAAGTGTGAATCATCTCAGACTGGTTACTTAAACCTGTCAATGAGTTCACTGTGCTTAAATGGCCTTCACAGTCACCTGAACTCAATCCAATAGAGCACCTTCGGGATGTGGTAGAACGAGAGATTCGATCATAGATGTGCAGCCGACAAATCTGCAGAAACTGCGTAATGCTGTCATGTCAATATAGATCAAATCTCTGAGGAATATTTTCAGTAAATTGCTGAATCTATACCACGAAGCATTAGGACAAAATGGGGGTCAACCAAGCTGGTACTAGTAAGGTGTACTTAATAAAGTGGCCGGTGAGTGTACATAGATATTATTGGTGCCGAGCACAGCATACTGAGACCTGCTCCTGCCAGTATATTCACAGACATGCTTCAGATTGCTAAAGCAAACAACAAATTTATATTAATGCTGTCAACTTTTATATATATATTGGCAACAGCAATCAATCAACCATCTTTGTACAGACTACATGTAATTATATAAAACATGTAATTATTATTTCTCAACAAAAAGAATATTCTGAAATATCAGTCAGTAATTCCAGTCTGATCTCTTGCACAAACCTGCGTTTGTCTTCATTGGCTGCTCATGAACATCTACCTTGACCCTCACACACCATAGCTAAGGCATGGAAGAGTTTGGTTTGTGTTATCAAAATATTGTGGAAAAAAAACAACTTTTTTTTTAAAGTACATTTAATCTGAATGCTCTTCCAAAGGCTTTAACTGACACAGTAAAACTGACACCATTGTTACTGTCCATTTGTCTGATTTTACTGATGACCAATCAGAGCAGAGGAGAGGTTTAAAGAGACTTTAATTTTAGACACTGAGAGAAAAAAGCTTTAATATTTGCTATTTATGAGTAAATAAAGTGCTTTTTGACCTTGGACTGACCTTTAAAATAGCACAACTGGGGCACTTCATTATGATACACAATAAAACTCTCACATTGTATTGTTGTGTGTCTGCACAGGCATTATCACAGCATGGAGGTCTTTACTCATTATGACCTGCTGAGCTTAAACGGCACCAAGGTAGCAGAGGGTCACAAAGCCAGTTTCTGTCTAGAGGACACTCATTGTGATGAAGGTGAGAATGCGAGGGCTGATCCCCTGAACTTTATTCAGTTCAAGCTGAATTTCTAACTGGTTGTTTTCTTTGGACTAGGTATTTCGAAGCGTTACCATTGTGCTAACTTTGGTGAACAGGGCATCACTGTTGGCTGCTGGGACACTTACAGACATGACATTGATTGTCAGTGGATTGATGTCACGGATGTCAAACCAGGAGACTACATTTTCCAGGTACAGTTTCAAATCACTGTTGGTGTGAAGTTTAGACAATGAGTTTTTGAGGGAATTCTCTTATGTTCACCGTAGGTGGATTTATTAAGTTAAGACATTCAATTCAATCAGTTGTAATTTACAAGTTGGATTAAGTGTATTCTATATATATATATATATATATATATATATATATATTAACTTTATTTCTTCCTGTCATGCAAAGCTTTTCCTGCATCTAGTCCTCACATGATCATCGAGAAATCATTTATGCTAATTTGGTGCTCAAGAAACATATTATTATTATTATTATTATTATTATTACTATTATTATTATTATTTTTATAAATTTTAGAAACTCTGCTTTTTTATATATTTTGTAAACTGATACATGCCATTTTAAACTGGGAAGGTATGATTTAAAAAAACCAAGAAATTAAAATTTTATACAACAAGAGTGCATCAAAAGTCACAGCAATATTTATTATGTCACAAAAGATTTTTTACATCACATAAATGTTCTAGTCTTTAGATTCCTGATAATCCAAAAATAGCTGCTAAAAAAAACGTTTTGTAAGATATAAGATATTTTAAAAAAAATGGAAATAGAAAACAGGTATTTTTTATTGTAATAATATTTAATACCAACTCGTTTTTTCCTCTATTTTTAATTGGTATTTGACAAAAGTAGTATAAAATACAGAATAAGAAAAATCACAGACTGTCTTAGTTTTACTATTTTGCTTTACTTTTTGATTAAAGAACTGCAGCCTTGCATAAAGAGACTTTTTAAAACTTTTGACCGAAAGTCAATATCAAAAATGTTATTTCACCTGACACGTCTCTTTCTGACACACAGGTGGTAATCAATCCAAACTATGACGTCGCTGAATCAGATTACACCAACAACGTCATGAAGTGCAAGTGCCGCTATGATGGATACAGGATATGGACATACAGCTGTCATATAGGTGAGTTGGTTAGAAAAATAAACCCTGATTCTGTAAAGCTCTTTTCTGCGATTCTTTTCAGACTTCTGTTTCATTTTTTGTTATATAGGGAAATAACTAGGAATAACACATGGCAATAAAGTCCACAATTACCCTGTCTATAAACAGTGTTCATTCCAAAATTCTCAAAATATAATTAATATTATAAAACAAAATTACCAATTTGCAACATCAAGCAGCCAGTTTTATTTTATAGTTTTTGTATAGTTTAAAATTGTTATATCCTGGATCTTACATGCTGCAAAATGGTGTTGGATAGTGACTTTTATTTTGAAGGTTTTAAAAGTGCCTAAGTCTGTCGCCAATACAATTTTTATACAAATACAATATACAGTTGGAGTCAGAATTATTAGCCCTCTTTTCATTTTTTCTTTTTTTAAATATTTCCCAAATGATGTTTAACAGAGCAAGGAAATTTTCACAGTATGTCTGATCATATTTTGTCTTCTGGAGAAAGTCTTATTTGTTTTATTTTGGCTAGAATAAAAGCAGTTTTAATTTTTTAAAAACCATTTTAAGGTCAAGATTATTAGCCGCTTCAAGGTATTCTTTTCAATATTCTAAAGAACAAATCATCGTTATACAATAACTTGCCTAATCACCCTACCCTGCCTAGTTAACCTAATTAACCTGGTTAAGCCTTTAAATGTCACTTTAAGCTGTATAGAAGTGTATTGAAAATATTTAATAAAACATTATTTACTGTCATCATGGCAAAAAATAAAAGAAATCAGTTATTAGAAATGAGTTATTAAAACTATTATATTTAGAAATGTGTTAAAAAATATTCTCTCCATTAAACAGAAATTGGGGGAAAAATAAACAGGGGGGGCTAATAATTTAGGGGGGGGGGGGGGGTAATAATTCTGACTTCAACTGTATATAAGACTTATATATGTGATTTTTTTTTTCTTCTTTTAGACAAATTTAAAATGTTATCCTAGCTCATCCGTGCTATATAAAGTTGTTACTTTTGCGTTAGGGTAATTAGGCAAGTTATTGTATAACGATGGTTTGTTCTGTAGACTCTCAGGAAAAAAAAAAAAATAGCTTAAAGGGGCTAATAATTTTGACCTTAAAATAGCACTTAAAAAATTAAAAACTGTTTTTATTCCAGCCAAAATAAAACAAATAAGACTTCCTCCAGAAGAAAAAATATGATCAGACATACTGTGAAAAACGTCCTTGCTCTGTTAAACACCATTTGGAAAATATATATATAAAAAATAAATAAATAAATCATTCAAAGGGGGCTAATAATTCTGGCTTCAACTGTACATGTGAGCTGGCTTGAGGCAACTTATGGTAATCTTTGGGTGAACTATTCCTTTAAGTGAAAGAATAATGTCAATAGAAAAGGATGTAAGTGAGTAACCCCATCTCTACCCCTGTCCAGGTGGCTCACGGAGTTCAGACATGGATGAATACTCAGGAATGAGCAACCAGCTGAACCACCTCAGATAGGAGACGATGAGCGACGGACAAAGGCTCTCGGTGGAGGACACTGCAGGATGTCATGTAGACCAATATTCAAATATGATTGACCACTAGAGAGACTCCAGCACTTCAACAGCAGATCCACTGCTCTTTAACTGACCACCGAGTATAGAAGTATGTTCTTTCCTGATCCTCGTGCGCTGCAGAAGCTATTTAACTTCCTAAGATGTACTGTATTTATTGCATTTCTGTGCTTGACTTCTAGATAGTCCATCCAAAAATGAAAAAGTGAGGCATTGTTTACTCACTTTGGTGCTGTTCTCATGAAAAATTAACTATTGTTGTTATATAGTAGAAGTGTGGTAACCATTCATTTTGGATGCAGTGATGAGGTATGTTTAAGCACAATTTTACTGTCATGGTTTAATGTTTGCCACTTGAAGTTTTATGTAAATTAGTTTGGGGAGGGTATTAAAGTTACCATGAAATGAAAATAACATTTTTTAGATGTTAGTATCAGCATTGTTAGTTTTTAAGATATCTATTAGCTAGTGTGCTCTAAAACAATAGCAAAAATCATATTTAGAAGATATAAAACGGATATAAACATGTAAGGCTTGTATTTCGTCACTTCTGTCTAAATGAATCAACGATTTTTTATTCACGTCACCTAATACTTTAGTTTTTCATCAAACCACAACTAATCAAATGCTCTCTAGTATCTGACATGCCCCGCCCCCCTTCAAGATGATCATTTGATGTGCTTGAGCTCAACCACTCTCACTGGTAGAGCAGTGATAAAAACAAAATGCTATTGGCTGTTTTTCCACCCTCTCTTCGTGTTTCTGTTGAAATTACGTCAAACATCGAATAAAAGTGAATATTTCAAAGCACTTGATAGGACCTTTAAAAAATGTCCATATAGCCTCGGCGAGCATCTGTAAAAACATACAATCCAAAAATAATAACCAAGCCAGAACGGTCCCTGCAGGTTATTATTATACATGTAAAACTTTGTAAACCATTTTTTTTCATAGTTCTAAATTAGATGTCTTTGACATTTCACAGATATTCAGTAAAGATATTAAACAATTGGTAGTTAATAATCTACAATTGTTAGAAATGCATGTAGACGCACACAGCAAACTAACAGAATAAACTCAGTTGGTTCCCGTTTACTTGTTGGTTTGATGTTTTTCGTTATATACGCATATAACGAAAAATATATATTTTTAATACACTTAAATTTTTGTTTATATACTTAAATATTTTTGTTTATATACTTAAATTTTCCTGACGATTTTATAATATTTCGATAATTTCTACATTTGAAGAATTCATTTGCCAAAACAGAAAACTTCATCATTCTTTTCATGGTCATTTGTGGAATAACATGATTTATTCAAATAAAAACAGTGATCAACTTGACCTGAAGGATTATCCTGTAATTTTGAGACATCTAATTTAGAATTATAGGGGCAAAAAATGGTTTAAACAGTTTTACATGTATAATAATATCCTGCATGGACCGTTCTGGCTAGGTTATTGTAGGTTTTGTAGGTTATCACATCTTTAATAGTTTGGGAATGTTATTTCATGGTTCCAAAAAAAATAAAAAAAAAATAAAGAAAATGCTCCCTCTAAACAGCCAGTAAAAATGTATTTTAGCAGAATGTTACATATTTTCTGGATTTTCACTAAAATTGTGTGGAAAACAGTGAGGAGGAACTCATAAAGTCTGTCATTTCTTTGCTCAGAAAATCATTGGAATGACACCAGAGTGAGTAAATAATGACCGTGTGTTCAATTTGGGATGGACAATCTCTGTATTCATGTAATTTCAAGCTATTCAAAACTGGGATCTTTTTCTTACTTTCTTTCTACATTTATTTATAATATCCCAAAGCCTGTAGTTTCGTGAACCCAACCCCATTCTGGCTGTCAGACTCTTTTTGTGGTTAATTCATCAAGCATGTCAAGTTATTTATTGTGAGTCAGTCAGGGATTATGTTTTATGTCAAATTTTGTGTATGCAATGTGAAACTGTAAGAATGTGTTGGTATTTGTGAAGCATCTGCCCTCCGTTTTATGAGGGTGCCTATCTGTATGACCAGTTCAGTGGTTTCCAGAAATGTGTTCATGACTAAACTGCACATTTGCACAAACCATTGTAATGATTTCTGTAATAAAAACAATTCTTATGTAAACTGTGTGTGTGTGTGTGTGTGTGATCCTGATGTTTTAACTTATGTTTGGGTATAGCCTGAGCGTGAAAAAAAGATCTGCAAAGAATTCACTCCAAAGCAGAAAGCACTTTCCTATTTTTCCAGGTTCCCAAGTTTAAATCATTTTACTACTCTGTGGCCTTTGGGCTGTACCATGCAGCCAGATTAGCCAGAGTAGGTTTTTTTTTTTTTTTTTTTTTTTTTGCACCAATAGGTTTAAAATAACAATAGCTCTACTTGCTTCCAAAATAAAAGTTTTGCCAACAAAAAATAAATTGTGCAAAAATCTAAAAAATGCAAATCTCCAAAAATCACAAAGCGAAAATTATTTTTTGAGAAATAAAAATGAAATTTACAAACAAAAATAGGAACTGCAAATAAAAATCAAGCAGTGCAAAGTAAAACTAAAATATTTGTAATAAAAAACTACACATATTTGCGAAACATTTTTATAGCATTTATAGCCTTTTCAAAACCCGTCTAGTCAATTGCAATGCTTATTTTAATTTGCTTTTAGACAACTGTGAGTTTGTCATGCTGTTTTCACATTTCTGTGCGTTTCACCCTGATTTGACAAGAGGGCGGTCGATGGAACTTGGCCGTTTACAGCAGGTCATGCAGGAACATGCGCAGATAAATCGTGCTATACATGTGTGAACATTTTGAGTTTACTCACTTTATTTGCGTATATATATTAGTATATATTTGTTTTACTTTTTTTTCTTTTTTCAAAACTTAATTTTTCCTTTGCAATTCTTTATTTTATTAGAAAACTTAATTTTGTAATTCTCAAAAATTCATTTTTGTTTTGCAATTTTTGGAGATTTGCATTTATTGTTTATTTATTGTTTTGTTTGCAAAACTTTTGTTTATTTTGCAAGTAATTTTGGCCCTAGATTGACCATATTAGCTCAGCTTTAATCAGTCTTTGTTGCATGCTCCGTGACTAAATGGGTTATGTTCTGGTTGGAGATCACATACTGAGATTCCACCAATGTTACATTTCTGACTCAAAGACACCCTTAGTTTCTATTACTTCAAATTAAAGGTCACAATTTTGTAAAAGCACTTTTAACAGGGTTCCCACTCCAAGCCAAATGTCAAATTCCCTGGCCAAAAAGATGAATTTCCGTGACCTATAATGAATAGAAAAACAGCTTGTCCAGTCCCTCCAGAATTTTGTGAGCAAATAGTCACCTTGGAATTGTAAGGTTCTATCTGTGTTCTGAATGATTTTGAGATATTGAGCTTCAAAGTTTTTGCATTCCATAGCAAACAGAATGTGTAACATTTGTTTTTTTTTTTAATAAAGTCTTAAAATGTAAACAACTCATTAAAAAACATCCCATAATGTAATTAAGTTGTCATTTAATAAGAATGTCAATAACTCAATTTTGACAAAAATGTCAGATAGAACCTTATAACTGAGGTGACAAAATGCAAAATTAGGCACTAAATTTAAAGCAGCTTGAATTATTTTTATTGATGCAGATTTTGCCACACTATAATTTTATTTCTGTTTTTTGATTCACGTTTCCCTCCATTTATTTATGCTTTTGAATTGCAGTATGATTTTTTTAACCAAACAACTTTTGATTTTTAATAGACTTTTGGCTTTTATATACTATAACTACTAAAACTACTAAAAGCTGTTTTCATCAATAATTACAGAGCAGAGATCAAAGTGAAATGGTGCAATTCATAACCATAAACAGATTTTAAAAAGTTTGAAATTATATACAATATATATATATATTTTTATGTAGCTTGTAAATTGCTCAAATTCCTGCCACAAAATCTGCTTTGTTTTATATTAAATAACATATTTGCATAGAGAAAGTGATTCTATGCTGGGATATCTCGAGTTTTAATAAAATACAGAAATTGAATGTTCTTGAGGTAAAAAAAAAAAAAAGAAAAACTAAGATGTGTAATTTTGTGTATATTTTCACAGCAAAACAACACAAGAAATGACAAATCTTGGCACAAAATTGATATTTTAGACTACAAAAATCATGAAAATTCACAAAATCTGAGTCTGGTTGAGCATCAACCACAAAACAAAAATTTGATTGCCGGTTGAAAGAAATAAAATGGCAGTGGAAAGCAGCCTTTCCATGAGAACAGGCAAAATATGTGAAACAACAACATAAAAGAATTGCACTTTAATAAAAGGGAGGTAAAATATGATATTCCTGATATTCCTTTACTTTTAATGTCTGGAACAGATCTTTTAAGTCTACATTATTTCAGAAAAGTCCATCACCCACTCTGTTTTAAAGATAAATTTGTCTGATTTTAATGAGGGTTCATTATATTTTCTTTGTGCTGCTTAGTTGCGAGTCCTTTAAATCATCCCCATTTCTGTCGTATTTAATTTCCTTCATTATTGAGGAACCGGCAGCAGGATAATCTATAGTTTATACATTATTAAGTGACAATTCAAAACTGTTAACAAAAAGCGTGGTTCTACAATGGTTTTAGATCCCTCATGGCCAAACCCAAGTGGATTCAGTATGGGCATCGCAAGGCTATAGGTTGCGCAAGTATTTGACTTCAGAGTCTTACGTAGATTCCACATGAGCAAACTCACGTGTGTCCCCACATAGGCAATCACAGGCTGGCTCAATATAAGCAACAAATAAGGTTTCAGAATGGGTCAAGACATGTGGGGCCTAATTGGTTCTAACATGTAGGAAACACAAGTGGCCAACACATAGGTGCCTAGACAAGGAAAAAAAACAAAATCAATTCCATATAGGTTGCTTATGTGGGTCACAAGTAGGTGTCCCACAATCCCAGGTGGGTCATATAGGAAATAAAACTGCTGATAGTAGCTCAATGACAGAGTTCTTATGTAAAGTATTGGGCAATCCCACATGGCAGTGTTTCTCAACCCATTCTTTGTGGCAAAATCAGCAGTTAGAGGAGGGATGCAAGTGGATCTCGCTGCAGAGCCATTTGAGGAGAGCTGAGCTCCATCGAGGGGGAGCTTAAGCTTGAGCTACACCTTTTTTGCACTTCTTCTACGAGTGATGTCACTGGGGGTAGGGTTAGGGGTGGGGTTGGTGTACGCATTAAAACAGCTTACAGGAGGAGGAGCGACAGCTCAGCCTCCCCCTCGATGGAGCTCAGCTCTCCTCAAATGGCTCTGCAGCGAGCACCCTCTCGAGGGATGTCCAAACTTGGTCCTGGAGGGGCAGTTTCCTGCATATTTTGGTACCAAACTTCCAGGCAGGTGTGTTAAAGGAGGTTGGAGCTAAACTCAGCAGCACTCCAGGACCAAGATTGGACACCCCTGGGTTAGAGTATGGAAGGTTCTTCACTTTGAAATTGTACCTGAAATAGTAAATCATCCGACAACATACTACGATTTGGGACATACTAATTCTATGTTCAAATAATATTGAGGACGGATAGTATGCAAATTGGGACGCAGCATTTGACACATTTTGAAAAGGGATAAATATTAGATTCTGTGTTGTAAAAAGTGCTTTGTGTGGGGAATAAATCAATATGCAACACCAATAAAAAAACAACAAATAAAACATTTAATCAAAGTAATAAAAGAATTTCAATCAACAAATTAGACACATTTTGAAAATGTAGAAAACAAATAAGTTAAATCACAAAGAGAAATGAATTATTTAATCGCACATCACCCACAAATTTCTTATTTAGCAAAATTCGCACTCAAATGACACACCTGCTAAATATAAGAGCAAACCAACTGAAAAACAACGTGAACATCCGAACAGTTAACCGAATAATCAAATCAGATTTAATATGGTGGTCATGCATGACTTCTTTTCCTGAAACACAGTCAACCACACTGATTACTGCCAAACTCAACTCACCTCAAATAGAAACAGTACTTCCCCTTTTGTCTTCAATACGGGTGTTTCTGTAAACACTGACATTTAAAGAAACAGTATATTTGCAGTGGCTTTAGTAGATGCTGAAACATATCAGACTTAGTAGTGTGGAGAATCATAGCAGGGGAAAAGCAAGCAAACCTGTTTCAAAAAGAGGAAAAACTACAAAAAAGTTCTTTGAAAGTTTACCAAAAACCCTCAGAAAATAATCAAACGGTCATTTACATACTCTTGGCCTTTTTCCTAAAATAGTACAGGACTCAAAGTAAACAAAACTGGAAAGTTGGGGGACCAAATGCATTTCATGTGTTTGAGAATTTCCTCAGCAGCTAAAATAAGATTTGCAACTTCTGTTGAGTCTGGATTGTATAATAGTTGATATCCAGGACGTCTGTCATCTGAACAAATGAAAACAGGTCAATGTAAGCTGTAATTAACTGAATCAGAGTCATTTGTCAGTGTTTGCCCCCAGTCCTCTCAGCCCCAGTGCTCTGCTCACCATCCTGCGAGCCACTACTGCGTCTGTACGCGGCCTTTCCTTCACCGGCTGCATGAACTCTGCACAGGGGACAAAATGGAATTAGAGTTAGAAGTCAGTTATATGTTAAGTTATATGTTAAGCTTATATGTTAAGTAAATGACGAAGTGTGTGACATCATTAGCATGACGACAAAGGTGACGGTTCATCTTACTACAGTATCTAAAATAGCTTATTTCTCTGGATTTGAAACATTCTTTAAAACATTTTGAATGATGTAAATACATAATGTAATTGGTATTTATACAGTGCATTTATCATGTATGGCCATACACCCAAAGTGCTTCACAATCGTGAGGGGGGACTCTACACACCACCACCAGTGTGCAAGATCCACTTGGATGATGCGACAACAGCCACAGGACAACGAAGCAAGTGTGCTCACCACACACTAGCTATTGGTGGAGTGGAGGGACAGTGACAGAGTTAATTCGGTGGATGGGGATGATTAGAAGGACATGATAGGTAACCATAAGTACCATGGGATATTTTATGATCACAGAGTGTCAGGACCTCGGTTTATCATCTCATCGGAAAGACGGCACTCAATGACAGAAAAGTGTCCCTTTTACTTTTACTGGGGCATCAGCTATATTTTGTATGACATTGAAAAAATGTAATTTGTGTTACAAATCGCACAAGAAATGTTGTGTCAAATCACAAGAGGATCTCTATGGTCCTCTGCTAGACATATTATGGTTACAGTTTTAGAACTAAAATGGTTTTTGACCATGCAAGTTCTTTAATAAAAGAGATGGCAGAATTCTGCCTGTAACACTTGCATCAATATGAATAAACAACTTAAATTTAAGTTTGATCAATATTAAAGTGACTTTTTTCATTCAAATGTAAAATTTTTAATGTAAGCCATCAGTGTTGCAGAAAAATTTAGCGGTAAATGGTAGAAAACAAAATACTCATTATCTCCAAAACAACAACATAAACTTATAGATAAATAGTAAACAAACATAAAGATATATCATTTATATAATTAAAAAAAATTGGTTTAATAACTACAATACTAGCTTTAATCCACAGCCTGGGAAAACAGTTCTCAGCGCAAGAACAAGTGCAGTTAGAGCTTCAGAGCTTCCAGTTGCTTATGAGTGCACTAAGATGTGAGGGGTCAAGACATCGAGGAATCGCATTTTGGTCAAAACGGTTCTTATCTGTGATTGTCCAAGATGTGGCAAATGTTTACACTCACTTGCATGACTCCATTCTGATAAATGAACTGATTGAGCTCTCTCGCATACATCATTAACTGAAAGCTTTAAAATATCAATGAATTCATACTTTGCCTTTGTCTGAAAAAAAAGAAGTTTAATTTAGTATGATCGTGTGTGTATAGATCAGAATATGCATGCGGTTGAATTTTTTACAAATATTTGTTACTTTGAATGATGCTGAAACATTATTTCACCAATAATTTTCACTAAAGTATTTGAAACATGAGGCAGACACTTTAGAGACATTAAATATGCTTTCTATTAAATCACTTTTGTAAATTTTATTTGATGCCAGCACATTAGAAATACTAAAACACTAGGCAGCACAAACATTTTCAACTGATCATGTGACACTAAGACGACGTGGTGGCGCAGTCGGTAGTACTGTCGCCTCGGAGCAAGAAGGTCACTGGTTCGAGCCTCGACTGGATCAGTTAACGTTTCTGTGTGGAGTTTGCATGTTCTGCCGCGTTTGCTTGGGTTTCCTCCAGGTGCTCCAGTTTCCCCCACATTCCACATGTATTTTACTTTATTTTTATTAAATAAATGCAGCCTGGATGAGTATAAGACAATATCTGAACAACAGTTTGTTACTATTTCAAAAAGAGTACATTTTTAAAGCACCTCATTAGGCTTTTTTGTCTTTGTACCTGCTCGTCTGGCTGCTTTCCACTTTGCTTTCTCGCTCCCCTCTAGCAGCGGACGGGTCTTCAGTAGCGGATGTTCAATAGAAAGCGCCTCTGTAGCTGAACAGAATAAAAACTATTTCATTTAACCATGTTTGAGAATTCTTAACATATAAAATGAAACAAACACAAGCAAGACAATACCTGCCAACTGATTAGAAAAAATACCAAGAGCATGATTGTTATCAACCCACTTGACCTTCATCCCCCCTTCACTGAAAGAGATGTACAGCAGAGTCATTTTATAGATTTGTATTGTTGTTGTGCCACAATATAGAGGTGAGACCTTACCTGTAGTCTGCAAATGCATCAAGAATGTCTTCAGTTTTAAATATGACGGGAAAGTCATAAATCTCAATTACATGGCCAAATTCCTCAGGGTCTAGCCAGATGTTTGCATATGCAGGGAAATCACTGCAGGTGTTCACTATAGTGATGTCCTTTTCTTTGACTTTGGCTTTGATCTAAAATAACCAAAGCAGAAAAAAATATGTTCCGAATTTGATGGCTATTATGGTAAGAGATCACAGTTTGAAAAATCCTGAAATGAATTAAATAGATTAAGCTGCTTTGTACACATTAAAATAAACAATCCATACTTATGACCTATCGGTAAACCCCTCTGCCCCCAAATGCACTGGTTGCAAAGGGACTGGAAATATTTAGACACATTTAGGCTTCAAAGCAATATAGAAACACTGATTTGTTTATATTTTTAAATAATAAAAGGATATGCCTGGGAGACTTGTAACACCAATTTTTAGGTATCCAAAGAGAAGAAGCCTTGAAAAGTATTTTATTCCAGATCTGAAACAAAACAAGACATCTTAACATTCAGAATGTCATTAAGAATGTATACATTTGTTTTTAAGATAAGTTAAAGAAACTTAGTAATAATAAATTATAGAGTAAAGCTAAGATAGGCAGCACTGATGTTCGCTAAAGAATCAGGACAGGTACATGCTTTCTATAGGCAATACAACACACAGATTAGAGTGAGCAGTGCAACATGCACTCTAAGCTTATGTGTAAGACATTGACAAATAAAGTCATCACAGCTTTTGGCTCACAAAAGTGAGCTTGGAACTTCGTATGATTACAGTTTAAGTCACATGGAAGGTTTTAGCAATGTTTTTGGTTCCTTTTCTGGACTTTGAACATCTTTGAATCTCAGCATCATCTGTCTAAGGAGGTTGAGAGAGCTCTCGGATTTCATCTATAATTTGTGGTATGAAGATAAAGAAAGAACTTGTGGGTAGGCGTGGGCCAATATAAGTTTCTAACAGTATGATAACACAATTGCTTCATCCAAAATCGCATACTTCCATACTATAAAGTACACTAAAAACAGGATGTGAGCAGAGTAGTATGTCCGAATTTATAGAATTCAAAAAAACATTTTGCAAAAAGTACCAGGATGACCTACTACTTCTGGCGAGATCTAAGGGATGCTATGCTACTCCATGATGCACCGCGAGAGAATTCATGAATGGGAGTGAAGTGATGCAACAGACATGGGTCTGGCATGGGTCTGTCATGTGATGATAAAAAAATAGCATCCATAGTACGTTGAAGTTCCATTCATGCTACTCACATTCTTACTGTATAGAACATACTTTTCTGTTGGTCGAGTAATACATTCATATTCAAATGCAGTACCTACTGAGTAGGCAATTTCAGACACACCCAAATTTTAATTTGGAAAACATATATAATATTTTAGAACAGTAAACATATCAGGCTAAATAGTTCAAATGAATTATTGACCTCTGCTGTCTTCATTAGTTTCAAAAACACTGATTTTAGGAATGCTCCTGAAGATCGGTATCAGCCGAAAAACACATTTCATGACTCGATCGATACTTGCCAATCTGATGGACCAATTGCAGGTGTTTGTTTATGAGTTTACAGGCAGAGGAAGACACACATGCGCTCCCATATATTATGCATAGCCTACAACAGCCACAACACGTGAGGTCATCACAACAGCTAAAATTAAATATATACAGTGCGGTGCCACCTGTTTACATAGTTTATTGGCGTGACTTGCATGAGTGAAGGTCTCCTTGTGGCAAGTGCAGCCATTATATTTCCATTGTTTTGAGCTGCTGTGACACGAGTGGAGCGATCACCCCTATCTAGTGTCTCATGCAACCTCATGACTTCTTCTGGAAGCTCTGCAAGACTCTCGCATATTCATAGCGGCTCTTTAATCCCCAAACATTTGTTAAAAATACCTGGAAATTTTGGTGACGTGAGCAAATCAGGCAGATCGCAAGAGGTGATGTCTAAAGCATTACATTTGTTAGGTTAAATGAATAGAACAGAAAAGATATCTCTAGTGCAAATCCCCCTCTTTGTCATGAAGCGATTTGCTGTGAATAGTTGGAGACGAGCAAAATATTTGAATGGTCCCGAATGTATTTAAGTCTTTTTACATATAGCAAAAGCATGTAAAAATGGTTCTGACTATGACATGTTCACACCTAAATGGTTATAAGAGATGTGTTTAAGGTATTATATGCAGCTTCCTCAATTTATTTACATAGGGAAGGCAAGATCTTCCTCTAAGGTTCCTACTTGCAGGGAAAATGTGCATTATGAAGCTTGAAACATTTGAATCTGTACTCAGTATCAGTCGATCACTATGACAAGGAATCGGTACTCTGTATCCACTGCATAAATCCTGATCAGACACAAACAGATTTCTTTACAATTTAAAATGGCATCTTGGAAAGCTTTTCAGCTGGAGATACTATTGTCCTAAAAAACGTTTAAAAAAGAAATAATAATAAAATAAAAATCTCACATATACGATACGAACGGTATAGCAGAAAATTCTGACGATTTTAAAACCTTGACTTTTCCAAACTGCGGTATGCCTTGAAAACGGTTATCGTTCCATGCCCACTTGTGGGATTACTGACATGATGAGGAGTCATTAATTAATAAGATTAATACACTTATTTTCATTTTTAGGTGAGCTCACCCTTAAATCATCACAAGCCAATTGAATTAAATGTAAACAAATGTAATTTAACTCTCTGGTACATGAACATGTTGACGCTAGATGTAAGACTTCTCCCACTCACATTGCGATCTGCAAACCCTTGTTTCCAAATTAATCTCATTTTCCACCACATTTACTTCTAATTACTTTAGAAATCCCTCCATGGAGTACTCAAGTCCTGCCTTGAATGCTCCCCATCAAGCGGTGGTCCTTCTGTGTCAAAACTGTATAAATAAGGTCATACTGTTTAACAAGATTTCACACTGTTAGACAGTTAGCAACAGTAACTTAAGAAGGTGGGGCGTACCGATAGGTCAATTATTAATGAATGCAAATAATTAAGTTATAATACCTCAGAGATCAAACTTTCATCAATGCCCTCCTCCTGGAGTTTCACATCAGTGGGAAGGACTGTGTTGTTAGCACCATTTTCATCCTCTTGGTTGTCTAATTTCAAAGACATTAACAAGGACACAGTCTCGTCCCATTCTGGAGGCCACGGAGAAGGTCCAGACTTTGAAAGTTGCACAAATTCATGATCTGCGAGTGGTTGGTGAGTGGGGTCCTCTTTTGGCCTTGGATTGGCGACAATATCATTGTTTGAGCAGGATTCCTCTGATGATTCCTTGCGATTTGGTTGTTCCGGATCTACCTTGTGTCTAATAACTCGTGGAACATAAATAGCCTTGTCCGGCTTTTTGTCTCTCCGTCTGTTGTTGGATATGTTGCCTTTGTCGCCTATTACCCTGTCCTGATTGCATGCTCGGTTATAGGAACTGCCTTTTGCATCTTGTTGATCCTGTTCTGACAACCTGCACCACATTAAAAATGTCAGAGTGTGTGTTTGTGTTAGTGTGTAACATGGCATTATGTCTGGAAGCATTACCGGAAGTCAGAATAGCACACGACAACTCTGCGAGCACAGCCCTCGCCCACAGAGAAGGTGCTGAGGTCAGGGTGATTCAAGGTGGTTTCGTGAATCAAGAAGCGAAATCGGCTTGGCAAAGGCGGGAAGAGTAGAACGCTACAATGAAAAGATGTTTCAATTAGATAATACAGCAGGAAGTCTAAATTACTGGGGAGTTTATTATCAATACATCTAATCAGCCTATCACATAATACCTATGACTTTCTATATTAGGTTGTTACTGAATGGGGCGGCACGGTGGCTCATTGGTTAGCACCAGGTTCGAGGCCTGGCTGGGCCAGTTGCCTATTTTTTGTGGAGTTTGCATGTTCTCCCCATGTTCGCGTGGGTTTCCTCGGAGTGCTCCGGTTTCCCCCACAGTCTAAAGACATGCACTAAAGGTGAATTGGATAAACTAGTGAACAACTGAAGTGAATGAATGGGAGAGTATGGGTGTTTCCCTGTATTGGGTTGCAGCTAGAAAGGCATCCGCTGCGTAAAACATATGCTGGAAAAGTTGGCGGTTCATTCAGCTGTGGCAACCCCTGATAAATAAGGGACTAACCCGTAGGAAAATGAATGAGTAAAAGGAGTTGAACTCAACTTTCTTCACAATATCTTCATTTGTAAGAAAGTTATAAAAGTTTAAAACAAGTTGATTACCATTTGAATATCCACTTTTACTATAAAACCACAATGGAATTATGGTTCTTAATAAAAATTTTACTTTTATTTGCATGCAGTTATACAATAATTAATTGGATAGTTAAACTGAAAATAAAATGACTATTTTAAATATAAAAATAAATATAAAGTAAATATTTACCAATTACCCACTGTCAAGTGGTTCCAAACCTTCATGAGTCATGTGGAATAAAACCTGTAACCATTGACTTCCATAGTACAGAAAAACAGATATTATGAAAGTCAATGTTACATGATTTCAGTTTTCTTCACAATTTTATTTTGTATTGAACAAAACAATAGTTTCTAACTTATAAAGGTTTGAAACAAGTAAACAACGAGTAAATATGATGAATCTTGGGTGTTGTGAAAGGGTTGATATACACTAGCTATTTGGGGTGGTTAATTGATTTGAAAGTTTTTAATGCATTGCTAGTCAGTTATTATATTACCAAATACTGCCAATAATGTCAGGCCCATAGCCCCAGGGACGAGGGACGAGGGGGTGCTGGCCAGGAAGACCCAACCCCTTACTGACAAAGATCTAGAATTTGTCTTATCCATAAGCTCATATTTCCTATTTGACTGCTATGCCATCATAAATGGTAAAAATAACTCATAGAAAAAGGCTTTGAGACCAAGTCGAATCCTCTGGTGGCTGTCTCTTTAGCATTACTTCGGCTAACCAGTTTGGCCAATGCTAAAAAATATTTTAATTTTATAATCTGATATAAGAAAAGTTCTTTTGCCACTGTATTGTTTTTAAATAGAGAAGGCAAAAAAATTGTGAAGCTCTACATCATTATTATTATGTTTTAATTATTTTTATTATTTAAATGGCCAAATTCTGACTGAGGACAGTTGAAGGTGCTGGCCAGTTTGTAAGTTGCCTAATAAATGACATTAGGCCACAGTTTTCAATTTAAAACTTTATCAGATTGCTATTTTTTCTAATGATATAGTAATAAATTTGTGTTAATAAGTATTTATTCACGTTTCTTTATTCTAAATCTTTAGGAAATATTTTTGGTACATCAAAAAGTGTGCTTATGCTTACCATCTGACATGCTAATCCAGCAAAAATAGTGCTTAAAATGATTCTAAAATGCAGTATTTCAATCTCAGACATGCGGTACAGAGGAATTGGGTAGGCTAAATTGTCCATAGTGTATGTATGAGTGTGTGTGTGTGTTTCCCAGTGATGGGTTGAGACTGAAATGGCATCCGCTGCATAAAACATATGCTGGATAAATTGGCGGTTGATTCCGCTGTTCTCAACCCCAGATTGATAAAGGGACTAAGCCGTTAAAAGAGAATTAATTAATGAAATAAAAATTTAATAGAAAATGTGGCGAATAACTGCAAAAAAGGTTCACTTTTTTGGGGGAAAAAACAGGCTGGCTGGCTGGCTACAGACCAGACCTGACTGTAGAATAATATTGTTAATAAAGGCTGTTTGTGTTCCAATCCTCAGATGTGTTATGAGGTTGAGTTACCTTTTCCGCTCATTTCTTTGAAGAAATACCTCCAGCTCCTCAAGAACTGTATGGACCAATCCAGTCTCTTGTTTAGGGAGGTAAGAGCCATTGATGCAAGGATGAGCCAGGATGGACGATTTTAATCCAGGGACTCGGAGAAGATACTTTCAGTCCTGATTTCAACAGTTTGTGAGAACACAAAGACACATTAAAATATGCATCAGTAAGTTAACTTAACGTTACAGACAAAATACGATAGTGTTAATATAAGAATATAATCACTTCACATCTACTGAGGCACTTAAAAAGTTATTTTAGTGTAACTTAAAGTGAACTTACAAGAAAAAGCGAAGTATATCAGAGAACCAATGACAAACATCAACTCGTAAATCTTACAGCGAATTTGAACTCACTTAACTCAACATTAGCAACTAGCTTAGCACACTAGTCTTTTCTTATCAAAATATACGCGCTTTAAAAGGCGACTGGTTTATGCACATGTATACCACATTAAAGACCTTTAAAAGCGATTAAATGCCAGTTGAAAAAAATCCTAAATCGAGCAAGCCGAAAACACCACAACACTGAGTTAAACCAATGAGGTAAACTGACATCTCCGACGTCACGAAATACTTCGCCTTGAAAAAAAAAAAAATAATAAAAAAATAAAAAAATAAAAAAAAAAAGTACTTCGCCTTGAAGGCTTTTAGTCCCCTCTGCTGGTCAGGAGTGAAATAACAATGGTTATGACTAATTTTAAAGGGATTTAAAAAAAAAAAAATTATTGAATACACGAATAATAACATCACTGCATTGAAGAAAAATACAATAACAAAAAATAAGAAAGACAGAGAGAAAAAAAATACACAGCCTCAATCATTAAGAAAAAATATTGTCATAAGCTTTAAGAAACTTATTATTCTTCTTATTATTAATAAGCTTAAGAGATTCAATATTGTACGACATTTCAACAAGGAAAGTATTAAAAATAGTTATTGTTTTAGAAACTTATTTTTGTGTATAAAAAATGTACAGTGTAACACAAAAAATTTTACAATAAGATCGAGAGCATGATCATCATTCGAGAAATACAGAAATATATCTTTTATAGACAAATTTAAATCATGTTTAAATAAGGATGATAAATAAAAAATAATGTCATTCTTAAAATGACAGATCTTAAAATGTATCTCTCTTATTTTGTTGGATATGCTGAATTTTATTCTTCCATTGAATGCAGTCAGGGAAGTTGGTCCAAAAAAATTTACATCTTGGGGTGCATGGTATATGCAGAGTAATGTAATCGTCTGACGTGTCTGTTGTCACATTTTTTATAAAAAAAAAAAAGACACTCCATCCAAAAAAAGTTTAGGCATAATTGTTTCCCTCTCATTAAAGTAAAGAAAAGTCTTAAATAAATGCACATAACTTTGTGACAAACTCTTTATAACACAGTTGAAGGATTTAGCTGGCAAAGGGAAGTTATACAATGTCATAAATTCTTCATATTCCAAAATATTGCCATCGTTTTTAAATAAGTCCAAAACAAAAACAATTCTTCTTTCAAACCACTTATCAATAAAAAGAGAATTCCCACGAGTTAAGACATTAGAGTTATTCCAAAGAATTTCTTTGTGTAGGGAAAAATTGTGCACATAACACAATTTCCAAGCAAGCAAAGCTTGTTTGTGAAAGTTAGAGAGGGAAATTGGCAATTTAGAAGGGATGAAATTACATTTTAAAAGAAAGTATAAGCCACCTAATTTATCAAATATAACATTGGGGATATGGTACCAAATTGAATTATTATGACGGAGACATCTTTGTAGCCAATTAATTCTAAATGAGCTAATTAAATCTTTGAAATTTAAAACCTCTAATCCACCCTCGGAGCGCCTATTAGATAAGACTGATTTTCTAATTATATGGGATTTATTCTTCCATATGAAGTTCAATAACACTTTATTTACATTATCAGCAATTTTGTCACTGATAAAAAGAGACATCGCAGGATGAACACGATGAGACAGACCTTCAGCTTTGGATAAATACCCTGCCATAAATGGATAAGTCACGTTGAAGCCATGAATTAAAAAATATTTCTAGTTTTTGAAATTTTAGGTGAAAAATTCAGATTTTGACGAGATAATTTGTCTATCACAAATAAAACGTTTAGTGGTTTGCAGATTAACCAAAACCGAGGAGTTAATGTCATTATAAAGCATTTTCACCATATTAACAAAGTTATTTCCAAAACCATAAGCTCTGAGAGAGTTAAATAAAAAATTATGTTGTAATGAATCAAATGCTTTATAAAAGTCTAAAAACAAAATCAGAGATTCTGAGTCAATGTTCTCTGAGTAGTCAATAAGATCAAGTACTATTCTTATATTAGAGCTAATATGTCTATTATTCATTAAACCATTTTGTGTTTCAACAATTCTACTGTGAAAACCAGATTTTAAACGAATTGCAAGAGTTAGCAAGAAGCTTATAATCTATATTTAACAAAGAAATCGGCCTCCAATTAAAAACTAAAGATACTGTCATGATTTACTCACCTTTCGCTTGTCAAAGTTTCTTTCTTCTCAAAAAAAGATATTTTGGAAAATGTTGGAAACCTGATGAGGGGCTAGGTGGCGCTGGTTCGAGCCTCGGGTGGGTCAGTTAGCATTTCTGTGAGGAGTTTGCATGTTCTCCCCGTGTTCGCGTGGGTTTCCTCTGGATGTTTGCAGTAGGTAGTGCTGTCGCCTCACAGCAAGAAGGTCGCTGTGAATTATAATTCTATTCTGCTTATAATAATTCTGATGTTGAATTATTATGTTTGAGATATATGCTTGCAATCTGTCATATTAGACAATTTTGTTTACTGGTATCCGACATTTGCCATTATCAGATTATATTCAACAATATATAGGCTAGAGTACTTATACTTACATTGTAAACATTTATTTT